CCTTGGAGAATTCTAATGGTCTTGGATTTTTAAAGCTGAAATTTTGAGGCACAAAAATAAATGTTTTAAAACTTCCCAGCTGTCAGTAACAGTAATGTGCTTTCCAGGGAATCCTGAACAAACAGTGTGGTTTGGTGTTATAATTACTTTAACAAAACATCCTAATTAAAAGAGCAATCCATAAGGAATAGGGTTATTTTTTTCAAGTTACTGTTCATCTTCACACTGCTTAGCTAAGTAGAGAAAGAAAAAGGAACTGGATAAGTCAAAGAAAGGGAAAAGGTGTTTCTTTAACAAAGTGTACATAGCATTATGTCAGTATAGTTGACTTTTAGGCTCACAGTTACAGCTGTGAGTACATCACTCTTCGGTTCATCGAGACATGGAGGGGGAGTGGGGCAGGGTAGAAATTTATAAAACACAGTATGTTCAAGGAGTGCTAACATTGCAATTCCCTTCCAACACAGATTTCTTTGGCCACAGCAAAGAAAGCCCATCCATTTCATGTGGTTACCAAAATGTTTCCTTCCTCTCTAAATATAGTTTAAGGGAAGCCAAAACAATTCTATATGGAAATTTCTGACTTTGGCATACTTAGCACTCAAAGCTCCCCAACATTACCCATGAAAGTTTTGGTGGAAGTCATTTATGTTATTCTATGATTTAAATCTACATAAGAAAAAGTTAAAATGAGATGAATATTTAAGGAAAATTCCCTTCATTTAACTATGTAACATATATATATTAATATATACATGTGAGATGCATACACACACATATATGGATACTACAAACTGTTATCAAGCCTGTCCATTTATCTATAATGAATTCTTATTAAAATTTTTAATATTCATATGATGCAGTCTCAGAAGAAAACCAGAAAGAAATAAAGGGACTCATAAGCACTTTAAAGAAGTGTTGCGGTGGAAAATGATTTTGGGCCAATAAATTGGGAAAACTTTAGGACTAATACTTTTAATTTCTTGCAGGTGAAACCCTGTTTTACAACACAAGTGAAACATTCCTTTTCCTCATTTTCATATACTTAAATGCTCTGAAAGGTTGTTGGATTCCATATGTTTAAACAATCTAAAATCAGAATTTATAACAGCACTATGTGCAGAAATATCAATTTTACTAGCTTCCTTTTTAAAATGTACTGTTTATTTACTTTCAGATTATTAACGTGTGTGTTATCAGAGGATACAAGGATTTCCTCAGCAATTATTATATGAAGAAGAGACAATATTTGAAATGTTTACTAACATAAAATACTCTTAAAGGAGTAAGATGCATTTTGGACCCATACTGGCAGAAAATTTTTAAAGAATATGCTCCTCATACGTGTAATACTACTTATCAGTACCTCCTTTCTCTAAAATCTCGAGTTCAAACACTATTTATTTTCATAATTTCTTTTTCAATCTGTACAGTCATTATCTGTCTAAGCGTCCATAGAGCTGTTCTTATCCTTTTTATGTCTGTCCTCTATATGATTCAGAACTCTTTAGGGTCTTCATATATTTCATAATAACTGTATCAATATGCAGTAACAAGTAAGAAAGAAAGAAGAGAGACTTTCTTAGACTAATAACATGGGAAAGTAAAAACAAATCCAGTTAAACATTTATTATGACACTACTCATGAGCACCACATAGAGACCTTGACTAAAAAATACAATTGGATTATATATAGAATGCATGAATATGCAAAAACAGAGTTAAAGGGAAGTTTAGAGCCACCCAAGAAGGGGTGATTTTACATCTTCCTTCCACTTACATTGTGACTCATTCAGAGTCAGGAGAAGGAGCACATAATTCAAAAGCAGGCTCCTATTCATTCTGGATATTTTATGGGAACTTTAGCACCTTTACTCCATTTATTTTCACTCCTTCCAGTAAGAGATATGGCCCCTTAGGTTTGGGTAAATGACATGACCTCATTTCATAGAACCGTTTGCCTTGAGTCACTGTCTTTATTGTCATCAGGTCAGCTCTCTGGGATTAGTGGAGGCTCTGCCCTGACCACCTGTGCTGGACCTCAATTCACAGAAAGCAGTCTTGAGTTCCAGCCTCACAGTTCCTAGCTGACTTGATCAAGTTAGCAAAATTTTCTTAGCTTCAGTTATTATTCTTTAAAATAAAACTAGTAATATATACTTCAAAGGGGGAGATCAGATGACAAAGCACAGGTATATAAACTTCAAACATTACTTCCCGAGTAAAACAAAAAATGTATATATGTGTAGAGCTTACTGTAAGTATCCTTTACATAGCACAGATCATAGCCTCTTGATTTTAGAACCAACTTCACTGGCCTCCTTGGTGTAACTCAGCACCAACTAGGCTCCAGTCTCAAGAGGTCTGTCCTTGCTGCTCCTCTTTCTAGGAGGCTCTTGATTCACCTAATGCATGGCTTTCCCCTCAATTCCTTAAACATGGGATATATTTTACCTAGAGAGATCTTCTACAGCCCCTATTTATACAATATTCCTTAATCCTTTCTCTTTCCTCTACCATATTTTATTTTTCTTTAGAATATTTATCATTGCCTACATTTATCTCAAGAAAATTTATACTTTGAGAGAGTAGGGGATTTGCTTATTGCTTTTCCTGTAAAACCTAAAATAGTTCCTGGTATACATTCCTAGTACTTCCAAGAAATACCTTAAATGAATAAATATAAGAAAAAATCCTCTTTAAAATATAGTGTATGAGGGATTGCCTCATTGATTGTGCCCAAAGCAGGCTGTGAGCAGTGTAGGCTGTAAAAAGTTAACCCCACAATTGGCTTGTTTTGAGAAGTGAGTCTGACCAGAGCTCATGTGACTAGATAATACAGCAGCAGAGGTCAGAGTGAATCACACCCAAATTCCATTCCCCAAATGGAGAATGCTTTGTCTCTTCTCCTACTAGCCTTCCCTGCATTAGCAATATATCTCTAGCAGCCACATGTAGCCCTCTCACCCTAGCTTAACTATGTCACCAATAAATATCAGCGGCTTTGGCTGGCCAGGGTCTTTTGCTTGCTATCATTGGCCATCCTGGCTCCCCATTTCTCTGTCTCTTTAATTCTGTCTTTGAGTTTTTCTTGTCGCCTTGTGCCATAGCACTGAGCAGGAGATCAGAACCTGCTGTGGGGGTCCCTGATAATAGTGAAGGATATGAACTTTTGAAAATGTATTTTGCATCAATTTTGTAACCTAAGGCAAGTTAACATCTCTAAGCCTCAAGCAATTTTTCTAAAAACTCTATGGTTATCTCTAGGTTTGTTCTAACTGCATTGGTTATATTTGCCTATTTCTAATATATTTTTAAGCTTTAGAGCAATTTTTTAAGATGAAATTCTAATTAACTCTTTTTAAATTTTAATTACCTGCTTAGGATAAACAAATTATTGCTTTAATGGCATTCCTTTTTTTAAAAGACATTCTTAAGACAATGTTCAAATCTTTAATTTGGTATTACCAAACTGCCTGTCTTACAAATCTTACCATATGGTTTTCTTTATGCTTCATCCCTGATGGTTTTTTCGTGTCTTCAATAGTGATAGTATCTGCCTTGACTTTAAATGTGCACATACCTTAGTCCTTAATCTACATCATTTCTTTTTTAGTCTGTGTTTCTTATCTACAATTCCTAATACACACTTTGCATAGCCAATTATCACTGGTTTTCAAGCCTCAGTTTAAATGCAAGTCTCCTACATGGCTATTTGCCTTTCTACTTAACTGCTTATCTCTATCTATGAATCTATCTGTCCATTCATCTTTCCATCTCTCTTATGTTGAGTCATAAGATATTGCAAATATTCGGCCATGTTTGAACCAGAACAACAGCAATTTCTTGTGATTTCACTTAAAATATCTTCCTTTGTTACCCTCTAACCTCCATGAGGACAGGATCATGTCTTGTGTACTGATTATTGTATCTTCAGAGCTAAGCATATTGCCTGATGTTTAATAAGTTTTCTATAAATATTCTTTAAATATTTAGAAATAGAAGAGAGGGACTATGAAAAAGGAAGAAAATGAAAAAGTTCAAAAAGAATGGAAGAAAGATTTGAGAGGTGATAATAAAAGAAGTAGGATTATAATAAGAATAAGGGGGACAGGGAAAAAGAGACAAAGAAGTGAAAGTAAAGGGTAGATGCATTTTACCCTCCTTTTTCACCTGAATAATTTCAGGACCATATGTTAAGGAATAAGGAACTTTCACATCTGTAATTTAGCCAGTCATCTGTGTCATCACACTTTTAATACATATTTTTTTATACAATATTTCTAGGTCCCACTTTTGATCACCTAGCTGTAAGTAGATTGACCATAACTTATTTTTATTCTAAGTTGCTCTCATTGTCATGAACTGGCACATCTTTCATGAGTAACATCAAATTATATGAGGTATGATGCGAAATATGATTCATGTCTAAATTTTTAAAAATTATTACAGTAAAAGATATAGTATAATTAAACTACCTCAAATTACTTCCACTTGCTTTAAACACACTTATGCTATCATTCTTGCTATTTTTTGAAGTGGTGTTGGAAGTCCTCTTTCACGTGGCCCTTCCACAAGGGCACTGTCCAGGCTGCCTTGATATCCTTAATTGATTCAAAACATTTACCTTTTGACTTTGAAGAAGAGCCAGAAGTTTCATAGTACCCAATGAAGTGAACAATTTAGAGAAGGTGAATAAGGTAGAAAAAAGGAACATACTACTAAGTTTATGAGCCTGCTTTTCTATTGGATGACACACAGAAGAAGCAATTACTATTTTTAAAAATCACATCTCAGAAAGATACTCATGAAAAAAGAGCGAGAAAATAGTGTGAGTTAAAATGACCAAGATGCTCTAGGTATATATACCAATTCCCCATGGAGAATATAATTATTATTTATTGCATACATGTACTAATAAAATAAAAACTATGAACTGGATGTACTTTTTTTTTAAAAAGACAGAAATCAGAGCAATGAAGATAGGCAAAATGTCTTACCATCTAGATCGTTCTCTGGGGTCTCTGCTGTGTACCAGTTGGAAGGTGGCCCAGTGCCGTTGACAGTCATGGCTGACACTTGGAAACTGTATTGACTTCCCTTCTCCAGCCCTGTGAAAGTTTTCCACCAGAAAAAAAATAAAAGTCAAAAAGTATTTCTACCTAGGTTCCAAAAGTTTTAGAAAAATTCTACTTGGCACACATGACATTGTTTGTGATCATGGTGATAATTACTGTTATTTTGACTGAAAGGTCTGAAATATCACAGCAAGAAATCAAGTTATTTTTCATATATTATCATGTACTTTGTCCAGTTTATAAAAATGTATCAGTGAAAACAGCCTCAGGGCAGATGCAAGATATAAAATATGAATGATGAAATAATAAAAAAGATCAAAAATCATTTTTCTTCCCTGTTCAGAAAAGCCATGCCTATAAATCATGAATGGTCAATCTAAAATTTATGTCTCCATCATTCATTCAAGATCAGTAATTATTTTTTGTGTCCAGCAAGAAAAATTCAAAGCCACTGCTGCAGAAAATTCTATGACTTTCATCTCTTGAAACCCTTTTAGAGCATAATTTGTTTTGTATCAGCTGCCATATTGCAGATGAAGGAAGGCAATCTCTCTGATAATTTGGATCCAATGTATTATAAACAATGAAACCATTAGGACTTAATTTGAGGAGCCCAGAAAATTCAGGTAGACTAGAAAAGACCTGTGTTTCATATCATATGTATACATTTTTAATGCAAATAACTTCCCCCTTACCTAAATCTCCAAGTAGCTTACTGACATGACAAATTATTGCAAAACAAGTGATACTTGTCACTATACTTTAAATGTCTTCTCTAGAACTCATGTTGAAATATAATTCCCTGTATTAAGGAGAACTTTAAGACATGATTAGGCAAGGAGGGTTCTGCTCCCATGAATGGATTAACATTGTTACTGCAGGAGTGAGTTCCTGATCAGCAGCATGGGTTTGGACCAGTTTTCTTCTCTATCTTGCATAGCTGCTTGTGCTTCAATCTTCCCTCTCTGGATGGACTCTCCAGATGCTGACACTACCGTCTTAGACTTCTCAGCCTCCAGAAGTATAAGCCGTTCTCTAATATTGTTTATAAATTACCAAGATTATGGAATTCTGTTATAGCAGCAGCAAATAGGCTAAGACACTTGTGAAAAGGCCATATGAGATTTCTAATCTGTTACAACAGTTTTTAACAAGCACAAAGGAAATATTAGGTTAAAATACAACATTCAATACATTAAGGTTGCAAAAGTCACTTTTGAACACAAGACCTTTGTCATAATTGAAGTATGCTTGTAATTTGCTAACATAATATTGATCTCATATTTGTTAATACTTTTGTCCTTTTATAGGCACCACTGTCAATTATTGAGGCAGAGAGATTACAGAGCTCTTCAGGGAAATTTAAAAATTAATAAAGAGAGAACTCCAGAAAGAAATGGTTACCTAATTATTACAGCTTATGAATTTCATTGTTTGAAATGGAGCTTTAATTCATCACACATATACTCTTTCATGTTAGGCTGAAATTTCACTTCATTTCTTTTCGAAATGGATACACAGTTGTATCAACACTGTCTGTTGTGGTTTAGAACTGAAATGTCCCCCAAAGACTTGCATGTTCAAAGATGAGGGTTTTGGAAGGTGATTGGGGCATTATAGTCATCAGGGAATTAATCCATTTGTGAGTGAAATTTAAGTGTGCTCTAGGAGGTGGGGCCTGTTCAAAAGAGGATGTCAGTGAGGCATGACCTGGAAGAGCAGATTCATGTCCCGGCACCACCGCCCACCCTCTCTCTGCTTCTTCTCTGTCATGGGATGAGCAGTCTCCAACTCCCATGACCTTTCTCCATGCCATCTCTGCCTTGCTGCCCAATAACCATGCGTGATTTTAAATCTCTGAAGACATGAAGCAAGATAAACCTCTCCTCCTTTGAAATTGTGGCTTTCTGCTGTTTTCTCCAATGACGGAAAGGTGACCAATCCAGTGTATCCACCATCTGAATCAAAATACCATCTATGATGGTCATTTTATGTACTAACTAGGTAGGCTAGTTATTCAACCATACACTAATTGAGGCATGTCAGGGAAGGTACTTTACAGATGAGACTCAAGTCCATATTCAGTTGATTTTAAATTAGGGATATTTTTTATCCTAGATAATATGTGTGCCAGATCCAATCAGGTGAAAGGCTTCTCTGAAGCAGAAATTCTTCCTATGGTTACCATCTTCTATTTGTGAGATCTAGCCCTTCTGATAGCAACCTGTGGATTTTGGAAATGCCTTACCAGACATTACAGTCATTGAAGCCCATTTTTTTTTGCAATAAATATCTTTATGACTCTCTATCTCTGATTTAATGCTGACTTTATCACATGCATTATTTGGACATGTGAATGGAAATCTTTTTGAATGTCAAATTCTTTTTCTTTCATTCACTTACCCTTAAATCAAGTGATTATTTGTGTATAGAATCCATCAATTTTAATATAATTTAATTTAAAATATTTCACTATAAAATTGATATATAAATTTCTTCTAATAATTTTGTCAAATTTTGATTTAAATATTTTGAGTTCAAGATTTATCAAGGTATTAATCCAATTTTGAGTAAAATAAAGCTTCTGAATAATATGAACTTAATAACAGTAAGCAATTGGGAGACCATCTACTTCTTTGTGATTCCCCATTAAGGTTACACCCAGCCAGCCCAAGCTACTTTTCAAAATATTCCTTCCAACCACAAACAGGAGAAAAGCTTTTATCACTTCTATTATGTCTGACATGAAAATTTAGCACCCAACATAGATGAGTGGCCTAGGTCACTCCGAAAATTTTTTCAAATATTTTGAAGTACTATATTTTATCTAAAATAATTTTTTATTTTTATTTTATTTTCAAAGACAGCTGAGCTGTAATCTCTTTTTCACTATAAACATCTAGAAATTCTAGGTTAAATACAGAAACACTTAAATACTAGGTATATAGACACTCCCTATTAAGAAATCTTACATGATACCTGGTAAAATTACCCATCCAATCCAGGGCATACAGCAAAGTGACACTCTAAAGAAGAAAGCCTTTAGAATGAAAAATCCACCAATGGACTGAATCCATTTTCAACAGTTTGGCTTATCAGGAAAGATCTACCTTACATTGCACTGAATCTGCTGGGCCATTGTATTACATCCAGACCGATAGAAGTTTCACTCAGGATAATTTAAAAAATTTAAATTTCTTTGTTTGAATATGTTTACCCAAATCTTCAGACTCGAAATGCAAGTGCCTTCTGTATCAATTCATTTTCAGTAGTATTGACAATGACTCTTTTTTATTTCTAGGTAAGGATAGGATATTTTGATAAGCAGAACCACACATGTTGGCTTTTCAGAGAGGTGGCCTGGACTTCACCTTCAGAATTCTATGTTGCAGATGTTCCTGCTTCATTGCTATGAGGAATACTTTACTCAACAAGGTTTGATTCAATCAGTACCCTTCTAGTCTCAATTCCCCACTGTAGTGATTAGCTAAGAATACATGCTTTCACCTTATAGTGTTCTCAAGGGGATCAAATAACAAACTACTTATAAAAGTAATTTATAAAATTAAGCATTTAGCCAGATACAGTGGCCCATGCTTGTAATGTCAGTTAATCTGGAAGCTGAGGCAGTAGGATCACAAGTTCAAGGTCAGCTTGGGAATTTAAAAAGATTATGTCTCAAAAAAAATAAATAAAACAGAAGATGAGATATAATCCAGTTGTAGAGCGTCCCTGGGTTCCATACTCAGTACTACACAAATAAAGCATTTAATAGGGGTAAAGACATCTAATATTTGTACAGTGATTTTGTTATTATCTAATTTGATTTTAAATACATTGTAATTTTAGCACAGAATACATTATATTTGGCATGATATTTTAGAGACAAGGATAATAAGGATCTTAAGCAAGGTCCTTGGTGTGTTTGTCATACCCTAATTACCCTTGGGTATAGAATCCAGGCTCCATCCTAGCTCCTGCTGGCCTCTAAAGACCATGCTGTTCTCTTCAAAGATCTATTGGCCTAGGTTGGAACACAAAAGGGACACCAGTAACAGGTATAAGGCACCATGCATACACCCAAGGAATTTCTGTTTATAATGATTGCATCCAGAGTATGCTCAAAATTTATACTAACAGTCACCATGATCAAGCAATTTGGGTGGGTAAGGGGTCAACCTCAAGGGCTGCTATCAAAAGATCTTTCAAATCTTCATTCATTCTTTCATCAGAAGTGGAATAAAGGAAAGCCAGTCTGAAATTAAAGGCTATTTCTGTGTGTATACTTCTAGAAGCTGTTATATTGGATTTGTTTCCTGAATTAAGATAATGGGAATATTAAATGATGTTTTAAAAAATAAATTGGTTAGAAAGGCTTGATTCAATGTCTTCTAGAGTCATTCAGCTCCTCTAGCTGCCAGTGGGGTCTTCACTTCTTACTGTCCAATAGATATCTCTTCTCACTCACCCCTTCATTTTCCGTTGTCCCTTTACACCCTCACACAATCACCTTCATTGACTATGGTCAGTAGAACATTGCCTACAGTTTAAAATTTAAGAGCACAAATTTTCAGTGTAGGTGGAATTTTGGTTCTACCATTTATTAGTTGTGTGATCTTGAAAAACTTGCTAGCTTTTATTCATATTTATCTCTATTTTCTCATCAATAAAACGGTGATACATAAATAGAAATTGTTATAAAGATTAAATTTGAAAACATACTCAAATTTTTGCATATTGGTTAGTCAAGATTCAATAAATTATAATAGATGTTACTGTTATAAAGGTTAATTCTATATTTTAATGTTAATGCTCATTCATTCAGTCATATACCAAAATGATTCACAGTAAAGTAAACTAAGGATAATAGCATGGCATACAGTACAAGGAGCAAATGACTAGAAGTCAAAACCGCTTCAATCCATTTGGAATTGTCCCCTTACATACTGGGAAATCTTACTAATATAATTCTCCAGACCTCAGTTAGTTCTTCTGTAAAGTAAGGAGTTTAGGTGAGATGAACTGTGTCCTTC